AGCGATTAGATATGAATTATATAGATTCATTCAGATCTAGAACAATAAATGAGTTTCTTGTAGAAATAGAACAGAAACAGGAATGTCCCTTTAGTTAAGATAGAAAGGAGAACCGAGAACGAAAGAGATGAGCATATAAATATAGAATAAAATGATATGATACGAAATAGAATAATAAGGAGGCAAACGATTTGAAATACCTTGATAGCTTCTAAATACCTTGGTAATAGAAAAACTTGCTTCAGAAAGGAAGAACAAGGAAGGAAATGGTCTGCAATACCTCGAGAGCTTCTAAAGTCTTTGAAAACAGAATAACGTAGAGCGAAATGATTTGGAATACCTTACTAGCTCCTATACACCTTGAGAACAGAATAATGAAAAAGAAAATGATTTAAAATAATTCAAGAGCTCCTAAATACCTTGAAAACAAAAAAAATGTCTTTGAGACACTGCTATATCCCTTGATAATGAGGACGGAAATGATTTAAAATACATTGATAGTTTTTGAATACCTTGGTAATAGAATAAGTATAATAGAAACAATTTAAAATACCTTGCAGTACCAAATGGTCAGCGTGTCGGTAGTTAGAACAGCAAACAGAATCTTGTCCCTGTTGCAAACGACCGCTGTCACGTTCTCCGGTTCGGCGGTGTTCAGAACCCGTGGCCAGCCAATCGGGAAAAACATGATACCTTCTCAAATGTTCATCGACTCAATTTCCTCCCCTCCGTTCACATTTTCTCGTTGTCCGATTATTTGTTTTCACTCTATCGCGAGTGAATCGAAACGTAAACATCCCTGTAACCTCATCGTCGTTTCACTCGCAGTAGAGAGACGACGATTTACATTGGAAGAGTAGGGAGAGTCGATTGAAGCGCCCCTCGTTTGTCTGAATTTATTGATTTTTTTTTAGAACAAAGATGAGGTACAATTTCCCTTTCTGTTTATGATTCTACAGGTAAAGTACTGTCTACACTGACGACACGACAACGACACCACGACATCCTGGGTTTTTTGAGATGGTGGGGCGGCCGAACCAGTACCGTAGCCTTTACAACTGCTTTCACACGCTTTTCCCTATACAGGTAGCCCTTCAACACGGCATCTTATAACACGGTTTCGCTATAACACGATTCGTAAATTGCGCGAACCCTCCTACAACACGGCATCCTATAACACGGTTTCGCTCTAACACGATAAGAAAATTGCAAAAACCTTTGTAAAGTACTGTACTTCTACAGCCGCGGCGAGGCTTGCCGTCTTAAAGATACAATGTTGTCACTGAGATGTATACATTTCTATCTCAGTGAGTGTTGTGGAAATTATTTCTTTTTATCTTCGTGGCCTGAAAACAAAAGTGTCTCACGCTGCTGGTCGGCAGTCGGCGTCGAGCCGAGGTGTGTTAAGAATAAGTTTGTGGCGGACTGGCCACATGGCCCTTTTTGGAATATGTTTATACGCGCTCTTCTTTAGAAAAGCGATTCTTCTGAGAAGAGATAAGGGAGAGTCGTTGGACGTCTGTTCAACGGGACAAAGGCATTCGAGCGGAAGTCTCTCGAGCGTATAGACGCACGCAATTGATCTGAATAAATCCTCTTGTGAAATTAGCAGTGCTAATTATTCTGTCACCTTATTCCCACAACTTTTTAACATTAAGCTTCCGTCACAAGCTATGTCCGAGAAAGATAAAAAAACAACGTTCAAGAGGAAATTTATTTCTTTAGAAGTAAAGATACAAATCTTGGATCGTCTTTTGAAAGGAGAAAAAGCATCTCACATTGGAAAAAGCCTTAATTTGAATGAAGCAACAGTCCGGACTATCAAGAAAAATGAAAAAGAAATAAGAAGTGCAGTTGCTGCAGGATCATTGACATCCGCAAAACATGCAGCTCGCCCTCGGGCGCCAATAATTGAGAAAATGGAAAAGGCACTCAGCATTTGGATTGATGATTGCTGTCAAAAAAGAATTCCATTAGATGGCAATATCATCAAACAAAAAGCACTAAAAATTTACAAACATCTTAAAGAACAAGGAGAATCCTCTGTCAACCCAGATTTTGTGGCAAGTAAAGGTTGGTTCGAAAAATTCAGGAAACGTTTTGCAATCCATAGCATAAGAATCCAAGGAGAATCTCATGAAACCGTTAGGACGTATCCCGAAAAAATTCAAAACATTATAGAAGAGCAAGGATACACAGCAGATCAAGTTTTCAATGCCGACGAAACTGGGCTTTGGTGGAAAAAAATGCCCACTAGAACCTTTATATCGAAAAAAGAAAAAACAGCACCCGGATTTAAGGTGTCTAAAGATCGTCTAACGCTCCTTTTGTGCAGTAATGCATCGGGGGACTTTATGACAAAACCCTTGCTAGTTTATAGATCTTTAAATCCTCGTGCACTTAAAGGTGTAAATAAAAACACCTTACCGGTATATTGGAAAGCAAATCCAAGAGCTTGGGTAACTGGAAATTTATTTAAAGATTGGTTTTTAAATTGTTTTGTGCCAGACGTTGAACGTTATTTAAGGCAGAAAAATTTGAGCTTGAAGGTGCTATTACTATTAGATAATGCTCCATGTCACCCACAAGATTTGAATCATCCCAACGTCAAAATACTGTTCCTACCACCTAACACTACTTCGTTGCTCCAACCATTGGATCAAGGTATTATTTATACCTTTAAAACGTATTACATAAGAAGAGCTTTAGAGTGGATTTTAGACGTAACCGACTCAAAATCAATTAATGTAATGGAAGCTTGGAAGAAATTTTCAATCAAGCACTGTATCGACATCATATCTTTGTCGCTGAAAGAACTGAAAACATCAACGTTAAATGCGTGTTGGAAGAAGATATGGCGCTCTTCAGTTGAAATAGAAAACGTGCCTGAATCGTCAGAAAATGAAATTGGTGGCATATTAGAACTTGCTAAATCAATCGGAGGCGAAGGTTTTGTGGATATGACTATTGAGGACGTTCAAGATTTATTAGTGGAAGGAGAAGTTGACGAAGCGGATTTGATGGAAATGGCATCCGAAGCTGTAAATCAAATCGATTCTGAGGACACTAGTACTGATGAAGATTGTGCAGTTAATAATTTAACATTAAAAAAATTAAAAGAAGGCCTAAGCTTAGCTGAAAATCTCGAGTCATTTTTCTTGAATGCAGACCCTTCTACTGAAAGAAGCCGAAAATTCAAAATGGAGCTGCGAAACTGTTTAGCTCCATACCGAGAAATTTACAATGACCTAGTAAGAACCAGCAACCAAAGTACAATTACAAATTTTTTTAAGAGGGAAGAAGATGCAAGAACTTTAAATGAAGAAAAAAGTTCTGAAAGTGAAAGCGATATCATTCCACCGAAAAAACGTTCTCGGTTGATTATACATACTGAGCAGTGACGACGAA